CATTTCAAATGCTGGAGCCCTTCCACGTCTGCATTTACGAGAGGGAAGATTTATTTCTTCCTGTCTCCTGGATTTTTGTGGCTGCCTTATGGTCTCTGAGGAATATCTGACACTGCTTTTGAACTCGGGGATCAGACTCTTGCCTATCAGCTGTCACCTGCCAGGCCTGGCTTTCCACTCCAGCTGCACTTGTACTTGGTACAGCAGCGAGCTGGGACATGAAAGGATGTCAGAAAAGAGAGATCATAGCAGCAAGAGTGAGATAACAGCAGCAGGAGCTGTCTGGCTCATGGTCCATGTTGGAGACCTGCAGGTGCTGCAAAAGAAGCCCAGTCTTGCATCAGGGGTCAGGAGAGAGCTCGTGGCTCTTCTCCCCATCCAACTTCTCAACCCAGTAGCAAGGCTCAGGGAATGTCTCAGACAAGAGCTCTGGGAGGGTGTTTTTGCTACCAGGGTTCAGAATATTGCAGTGGAATAGCAGAAAGTGCATCTTATGCAGTGGTGGGGTGATGATGATGATGTTGAGGGAAAGAGCCTCACCATTTGTTTCAGTTTTGCTCCTGATGAAAGTATCTGCTCGTAGTTGTTGTTTATTTCTCTTTATTGATCTTGACAGGTTTTCTTTTCGAAGCACATGGATCAGCTCTGGTGCAGTGATGGGGAGGAGTGACTGGGGGAGGAAGGCTGGTGGCTGGTCCCCAAAGATACAGGAGCTACGAGACCCTTCCCTTCACAATACAGGCCTTTTTAAATCTCCTTTTTTTTTTGTCTGTAATACAAATTTTTTTCTTTGAGTGGGAAGCACCTTTATCGGGTCTTGTTCACTGAGAAGTCTGTGGAATTATTTGCAGTAGAACTATGTGGTGCAAACATTTCTGTCTCTTAATTTTGAGGCCATTAGCACAGTTTGGGTGTGCAGTTGATGTTATAGAAGTGATAGGCAAAAAATAGGGATTGAGCATCCAATTTAGTCTTTCCCTGCTCAGGAGGATGTAATGCAGCTGCTAACCTTGAAGAGCAGGCTGTTGTGTTAATCAGCAGTGCCCTTGAGCTGTCCTATCCATCCCACTTCCCACTTTTCTGAAGAGTTGCTCTTCCCAAGGTGCAGTTTTGTCTTGAAGAAATACCGACTTGTAGCACTGTATGAAAACACAGCAGCACACACAGCAGAGAGCAATTCCCTCGGCAGCAAACAAGGAAAAGATTTTTCTCATTTTCACTGGATATACTCCAAGAATTCTCTCTTCAGTTTAGTTATTATCTTTCCCTACGGTGTGGAATATTCAATTAAACTTCCTCTCAAATTGGCCATAACTTTCAATGAAAATTAAAGCAGTTCTATTTAGGTAACAGGATCTGTCACCAGGCTTAATGTTCAGAGAGAATAGGAATGGTTTCACCTCTTTCATGTGAATTAACCTCAGCTGACATTCTTCACGTTTCATTCCTCAAAAGCACAGGAAGATGACAAGCATTTAGCATCCAACTGGATGTGCTGGCTCTCAGGTTTGGGGTACTCTTCATTTGGAATGCATTTAAATTAATCTGGCATTTTTTAATAGATTTTGTGATTCACTAGGGGGAAAATTATATATCTAGCAGAAGCTTGGGTAGCAGAATGTTCTTCTAAATGATCTATCACGTTCTGTCCGACACCATATGGGCACACACCTCCTTCTGTGTTTAAAATGTTTCTTTTATAGTAAAGTCAACTGAAATTTCCTAGATCCTGCATCTTACTGAAAGAAATACACTTCTCTCAAAGGAGGCACACCCAGAGCAGGAATACGTTTGTTTTATCTAAAGTGGAGGAGAAAATGGTTTTTTTGCTGTGTAGGTTGTCTTAAGCTGAGGGTGTTTCGTGTTCATTCCGAGGTAACTTGCTCTGTTTGATAAAAGGACCAAAAGAGAGCCTATTAAACACAACCTGATGAGAAGAGCAAGGGAAAAGCCCTCTGAGCTTAGGAAACAGCCTCCTCCTGGCATTGCTGGGCTTCTGTAGATTGAGCCACTCGTGGGGTCCTTCAGTGATAAGCCAAAAATGTGATATCGTCTCTCTTTGACTGCAAGTCCCTGGACATTACTGCATAGAAATAAAGTTACCAATTTTAATTTAAAAGAAAAGAGAAAAAAAAAGTGTAAAATTCACATTTCAGAGCTATCCAAATAGCAAAACTTTGCTCCCACAAAACCAGACGCTTCAAGAGAGCAAATGCCTTTGCCTGGGCTGACACTGAGCATCTGAGCAAAATAACTTAGTCAAAAATGGGCTATTTATGGTACAGGCACTTCTGGTTTTCTGTCTGTGAGAATCTAGATGGCACTTTGTTTTATTTATTAGTGGCTCTTTAGTGATCTGTGAACCAAATCCTCCTCTTCTGTAAGGTTCTGTGGCTCAGCTCTTATCACACAGTGGTAGGATCTGGGCTGCAGTGATTTCAATCACACATTAAACTGTAGCAAAGGGACTCTACAGGCTGAAGATTAAATAGTTTGGACTTGCTTATCTTGGTTATACACAGGCAGCAATAAGGGAAAGAAGAAAGGCACTCAAAAATCATTTTATCTACCCAGTGTTACAAGGCTTTTCCTCCTCTTCTGTTCCCCTGGTGTGCTGGTAGCTGCTTTCAGAGGTTCTCCTGCCTCACCCAACACTGTTTGCTTGAAAGTCCCACCAGGGCTTTGCTTCTTGCTGGCTAAAAGGAAGGGAAAGCATTTTTTTTGCCATATAAAAGCTGAATATTAACCAGTGTCAGCAGCAGTGGAATATGTGGAGATGGTTTCATTTGGGTTTTTATGAGTTTCTTTTTTAGCAAACTGAGTGATTTAGTAGACAAATTAAGTTATTCAGTGTTTTCACCTATTTGTGACTATTTCTACCTTCATAGTTCTCTGCCTTTGGTCTCTGTTTTCCAAATTGTAATAGAGTACGCAGAGCTATAATCTTTATAAACCAGACTTAACATTTTTTCTTAGGGTGAATGAGACTGTTTAGGGAGTGAAGCAGCCCTGGGTCTCAGAAAGAAGTCCAAATACCACAATCTAGCCCTGTTTGCTCTATAGTTATTATCCTTTTCCACCAGCAGCAGCAAGTTGCACACAGGTATAATTTAAAGCTGAGAGGATGTGAAATGTGTTTTGAATAATAGATGAGTTTCAGTCAGATATCATTAACATATAATTAAGAATAAAGATAAATACAAGTGATATGACTGGATGCTTAGTGTGTTCTCTTTTGTGGTGGGGCCTGAGGGAGGAGACACGGGGGAGAGGCTGCTCCTTTATAATCTTCCTGGCAGAGTCTCTCTGAAATGCTTCTGTGGAGAGACAGAATTTGCTCCCTGGAGTAAAGAGCTATTGTTCTGTCCCCAGTAAATCCAGCTGATTTCCCGGTGTCGGGGGATGTGAGGGCTGTTCACATTCATTCTCACCCTCCTCCCATCAGGAAGATCCCTTGTCTTCTGTTCATTCCTTTTTCTTTTTTATTTGTTGTGCAACCCACCATCTTTATATTTTATTTATTCCTTTTCCTCTGACCTCCCATACCCCCAAATTTCCCGTGTGTCCATCAGGATGGGCTTCTGGCTGCCTGACTAAAGGGAAGTCTGTGCTCACATCCCTGCAAGTCCTGCCCTGGGCAGTGAGGGACCTGCAGGCACCCCGTGGCCCACACAATTGCCCTTTCTCTGCTGTAAAGACAGGGCAGAAACAGATTGGAAAAATGTTCCAAAAATGTGAAGTCAAGGTTCCTTTCATTCAACTAAAAGACTTTCTGGCTGTGAGGAGTTTTCCTGTGTCCTTACTTGCACTGTACTTCGAGGAGGCAGCCAGACATTGCCACTGATGAGCAGAAAAGTCCCGGGGAAATCAGGATTGATGATTTTTTTTTTTTTTCAGGGAAGAAAAGTTGGTTTCTTTTATGTTCTGAACTGTGAAGATAAAACTGTCTAATACAAACAGGATGGAGAGCAGTGAATTTATGTTGCAGCTTTTTGTGGCCATTTTGAGCAATATTGGTGTATTTTGTGAAATTCAGTGCTCACTGCAGAGCTGCACTTTGGGGATGATCCTGTGAGCACCACTCACCCTTAACTCCATGTTTGAGAAAGGATAAACTGTTAAGGTGAAAATGGAGAGTGGTTGAGGAGAGAGGCAGGAGTTAACAGCTCAAAAGATCAAAATGTGTTTTTAAAATAAAGAATTAAAGTTAGCACGAGGGAGGCTCCTGTGAGTAATCCCCAACCTCAGATTGTTGCATTGCTGTGAAATGACTCCTGAACTCTTTGAAGGTCATGTCAGGTTGTTCTGCCAAAATATTTTCACTTTTCTACCTACATTTAGCGTGAGTTTTTAATACTCCAAAGTGCACAGGCATGTGATGTCCTTGTCAGCACAGGTCACACCAAGCACTTGGGACCCTCACTGCCAGGGGGTGCTGGGCTGGAGCCAGGAAATTCCTGAGGAATCCCAGCACAGAGAGAGCAGAGGGTGTGAAGGGTCCCCTCTGAGGGGCTGGTGCTCAGTTATACCTGTGACTGCAAAAGGTTTCAGTCAGGGCTGGCAGAACCAGCGAGGGGACTCCCTGGGGGCTGGACCTGCTGGGGCCCCTCCAGCTCACGTTTCTGTGTGACCGTATGTGATAATGTGGCCTTTTAGTTCACAAGGAAAATATTTTCATTTTTCAAGGTGAATTAAGCATTGAATTGAGCTTTGCTGGGATAACAGGATCGTACCTCTTCCTATTCATTTGAGCTTTGGGTGAAGTTTCATTCTCCTCTCTATTTAATGCACAGACATTTGCATGAATGTTGACTCCGTGTGAGATTCAGTGGCTCTGGGAAAAAAAAAATCTGGCATTATAAACAAAATAAAGTGTCATCAGATCTTTTCCAAGGTGAATGATACACAGCCTCTTGCTGCTAAGACACTATTTCATGTTTTAGGAGTGGGAACGTGGAGATTCCATCAATTACCTGTCACATTTTCCCTGTTTCATGCAGATGAGAACACACTGCATGGGCCAGTTTTCCTTCAGGAACCCAACAGCCTGATCTTCCCTTTGGATTCAGAGGAAAAGGAAGTGGAGCTGAGCTGTGAAGTGAAAGGAAATCCCAGACCAACCATTGGGTTTGTTGAATTTAACTGGTTTTTAGCATTAACTGAATTTAACTGTTCTTTGGCACCACCCCTGCACTGCAGCAGCATCGCCCAAGGGCCTTTCTGCTGCCTGGATCACTCAGTGATGCCCCTGGAGCCTGGAAATGCTCTCAGGCACATGGGGGCATTGTTGGGGTGTCCTATGCAGGGCCAGGTTTTGATGGTCCTTGTGGGTCCCTTCCAACTCAGGATATTCCCCGATTCAGGAGCATTAGAAACAGAGGAAATGCACATCAGGAAATCACCACACACTGCAGCTCAACTGCAGAATTTGGACAAGAACTCAACAAGGTTATGAAGGAACAATAAACAGTCTTGGCTCTTGGGTTAACCATCCTTTTGCCTAAACACTTGCAAGGCTCTCAGCTCTTTTCAGCTTTGGTAACTGCTCTGGGATCCTTGGAGGAAAATGCTGCCCTGCTCCAGTGCTGCTGCTGCTGGAGATCCCTGAGTCTGCTGATTTCTCTCCTTTAGTGCCTCTCTCATTTTGCTCACCCAATTAAATGCCACTCTGAAACCACTTAGAGCCACCAGGGCTCAGCCACTGGGCTGTTTTCTGACACAACCAACTGTTTAATGCCATGAACTCTGTTCATTCACTGGTGCAAACACATTCAAATAGTTTCTCTGCCCATTCTGGTGGTGGAAGGGCAGCACCTCCATCGAGGGCTGGTGGGGCTGAGGCAGCTCTAACTGGGGCAGCGTGGTGCTGGAATTGCTCAGTGCCCCAGTTTGTGACAACAGCTGCTGTGAGCGAATTTAAATTGAAATTTAAATGTAAAAATAAACAGCCAGCAAGTCGAGAGAGGGGGAGAAAAAAAAAACCTCGGTGGACTTGAGTGGTTTAGAGATCCTGTTCCAGGGACTTCCCCTTGCAAAATGATTAATTCCAAAGAGCAGCAGCACGAGCAACTACAGAAGCATTAATCATTTCAGAGACTGAAATATATGTCAAGGATATTGCTCTTTCAGTTAAATACTGGAATATTTCAATACTGTGCAGGAAATTTGCATTTTTGTGCCTTTTTTTTTTGTTTTTAATAAGTAGTCAAAGACGTTCTAAATCTCTCTTTATTTACTTCATGCTGTAGTTTGAAATACCCAAGAGCCTCCATTAATATCAGCAGAATGTAACTTTGGCATTTTGTGCTCTAGGTGGAAGTTAAATGGGAGCAGCATTGACGTGGGGATGGATTTCCACTACAGGCTGGTGAAAGGCAACCTGCTGATCAATAATCCCAATAAAACCCAGGATACTGGAACATACCAGTGTGTAGCAACAAACCCGTTTGGAACCATTGTCAGCAGAGAAGCAAAGCTTCAGTTTGCCTGTAAGTAAGAAGGCAGCCTCTGTTCTCTCAGCATGCAGGAAAAACTGGGATATGTGTCTCCTTTCCAGCCTTTCCTAACTGGTTATGGAGTGTCCTCAGAGCTGTTCATGGGGCAGAGAAAGAGGGGAAATGTGAATAAGGAAGACATGTCTTCGTTTATCATTATTTAGCTAAAACTATATGTAGTATACAGTAAATTTTTTTTATTTTTAGGAAGGGGCCATCTGGGAAAGGATCTGGTAAATGGGATCTCATCCAGGGGGTTTTTTATTCTCCTTGGAGAATTAAAGCTTCAAAATATTAACAGGAGTATGATCTCCATAAGGAGTAAACTCACAGTGACAGGTGTCCTAAGTCCTGTGTTTCTCTGGTACAAGTGCTCTCAGACATGGGGGATATTTTGTAACTCTGGGTGTAAAAGGGAAAACAGGCTTTGTATTTATTTGGGTTAAATCAGAGCTACAGCTCCCTGTTGAAAGCTGAGGATGAGAAAAGGCACAGATCTTGCTGTGAATGAGCTTTATATGAACTTATGTAAAACCATTTTGAAGATAAAGTCTGTGAGAGTGGGCAAACAACAACGCAGGACCACAAGTCATCTTTTTTCTCATGTAGTTGTGAAGGTGAAGGCAGAGAGTAAATACAGGGACTTATTCATCTGTCATCTCTGATTTCTCTGTGCTGTTGTCCTGGGAGGGGTGTACACAGCAGAGCAGTAATTACAGCAGGAGCTGCTCTGGAATATCCTTGGAGGAGCGTGCAGGAGTTCAAGGCAGACCCTTCCCAGACACAAAGCTCTCAGTAATGGAGAGCTTTCAGCAGAGCTTTAATGAAAGGTGCTTTTGACTGACTGGTAAGAGAAGTTGATGTGCTCCAGCTACAAAAATGAGAAGATAAAAATGCCAATAAACCCCAGGTTCACACTCTGTAGAGAGATGATTTGTAATGAGAAATAATACAGAGGGGAAAGTCAAGTCCTCTGTCTCCCTGTGTAGTTTACAATATATTATCCTCTTACTTATGACCTGCTCGAGTTTTTCCATGACTGAAGGTGCCTCTTCACCGTGGATGGGTAATAAACAGCTTCCTCAGGCCCCTTCTCATCACTCCACATTTCAGCATGTCAAGGTGATTGCTTACAAACCCCACATGGTTCTGCTGCTCTGGGCACATGTGTCCCACAGAGGCTCTGCCTTAGGAGCCTTGGGCATCACCAGCTCCCAGGGGAGCCTGGGGAGCAGCACCCTCAGGGCAAAGCCCTTCAGCACCCCCTGGCAGGGTCAGATGTTTCCTGGATTCAACCACTGAAGGACAAACCGGGTACCAGCTTACAGCTCCTCAAAGGCAGGTCCTGGGCTTCCAAATTTGGGATATAGGACTAGAAGGGAGTATTCTCCCAGTCCCACAGAGGGTGGGGAGGCCCTGGCACAGGTTGCCCAGAGAAGCTGTGGCTGCCCCATCCCTGGAAGTGTCCAAGGCCAGGTTGGATGGGGCTTGGAGCAACCTGGGCTAGTGGAAGGTGGCCCTGCCCATGGCAGGGGGTTGCACTGGGTGGGCTTTAAGGTCCCATCCATCCCGGACCATTCTGTGGTTCCATGATTCCCATGATTTCATGATTCCCGTGATTCCATGATTCCTGTTGCTGACAAGTGCAGTAGCCATGGACCAGTTGAGTGGAAACACATCCTCTTCTCACATGTCTGTTTTGACTGATTCCTGGTTAAGAAGATTGAACTCAAAAGCTTGTTCTTTTCCAGTTAAAGTAATGGATAAATGGATAAATTTTTGATCCCTAAATTTTACTTCAGGTTGATAAAACATTGTAAACAGACTAGAAATATTTGGATTAAAGAAGTAAAAATTAGGGTTTTCTCAAGGTGGGCTCTATGCTTTGCAAAAGCTCTATGCTTTTGTCTTCTTTAGTCAAAGGGATGGGAACCAGAATTAGCTGGATTATGAAATACAGAGTGGTTTAAGTTTATTACAAAAGCTTTGCCTCTAAGCAAAAATTAAATTGGGCATCTGAAGCTTCACCCTTCGTCTGAACAATCCCTCATTTTCCGTCCTACTGTGTGGGTTTTGTTTTATCTCCTTTTCATTTCTGAGGAAAATTAATGTTGAGTCTGTTGAGACTGATGGCTGGAAGGTTGAGCTTGGGTTTTTCCTCTCTTAAGAGTTAAATTGTGAATCTTGGGGCATCATTGATATATGTTCCTTCTTCAAGGGCTGTGTTATTCTTCTGTAGCCTTTTCAATGCAGATTAAACTGCTGTTGAGCCATTCAGCCTCCTGTGGAGGTCAGGGAGGGTCAGCAATTTAATCCTTGAAATATGTATTTAGGTTACAAACTCATTATGATAAAAGTCCTAATATTTTTCCCCCAATACTTGCTTTGTGATGTGCCATTTACATTTCAAATTTGTCCTTTTCTCTTCTTTTTCCTTCTCCCCCTTTTTCCTTCTCCCCCTTTTTCCTTCCCCCCCTTTTTCTTTCCCCCTTTTTTCCTCCCCCCTTTTTTCCTGCTCCCTTTTATCTCCCCCTCTTTTCCCCCCACTCTTTTCTTCTCTGTTTTTTCTCTCCGCCTTTTTCTCTCCCCTCTTTTTTTTTTTTTTCAATGCTGCTTGTCTCTGAAATGGAACATATTTTCAAAAGTGAGGAATCTGCTGTGCCACAGTAACAGAACATGGATTAATGATACCCTAAGCCCTGTGCTTACAGCAACACAGGCTTTCAGAAAATAAAGCTTTAAACTCTTGAGTATGGATCTAATAATGGCTTTTCCAAAATGATATATGAAAACACAGCTGAACAAGATTAAATTATGTGCTTTTTATTTTAGGGGTTGGGGCTTAGCTTGACAATTTTATTCACTGTGCTGTAGTTTCTGTTTGGAAATAACACTGGAATCAATAAGGAGTTATGGCTGGGAAGGAGCGCGGCTCTGACGCGGCACTTTGGAGTTGAACCCACCCCTTCAGACATATGATTAAAGTTGTTTACCATGGCCTAGGTCCTGCTTCCGTTTAGGATGAAGATAAAACTCGTATTGATTTTTAGTGGCACCAGAGTTGGCCCAAACCCCTGGGAAAGTGCTGAGTTTGTGGGTTGTTCTGCCTGCTCAGCTCCTGCTCCCCTTGGCAGGGCTGGGCTGGGGGCAGGAGGGCTCAGGACGGGCAGGGTGAGCTGTTGGAGGGTGTCCTTGGCAAATTGTTTCTCCTGACTCTGAAATAAGGTGTAGAGGGGAACATCAGCACACACAGAGGCTGAAAGCTGTTTGGTGGCTCTCTACAACTCCCTGGAAGGAGGTTGTGGTGTGGTGGTGGTTGGTCTCTCCTCAGAGTGACAGGACAAGGGGAAACAGCCTCAGGTTGTGCCAGAGGTGCTTCACATTGGACATCAGGAAAAAACTTCTTTGCTGAAAAGGTGATTAAGCACTGGGACAGGCTGCCCTGGGAAGTGGTGGAGTCACCATCCCTGGAAGTGTTCAAAAAATGAGTGGATGTGGTGCCCTGTGATATGGATTAGTGGACCTGGTGGTGTTTGGTCAAAGGTTGGACTTGATGGTCTTGGAGGTCTTTTCCAACCTTGATGATTCTGTGATTTATACCCACATCTCCCTAGTCATAAAATCACCAAGTAAAGTCCTGGGAGAGGCTTCATTAATGCCCACCCTCTGAGAAGCTCATCAGCCTGTTCTCCATAACACTTGTAGACCATTTTCAGGGGTGTATATTTGAAGGCCTACATATTAAGATTTATAGAGGAAATGGGACAGAGTAAGGCTTTCCCTTCTCTTTGTAATTCTTTGCTGAGTGATGTCCAGGCCTTTTATGATCATGGTGGGATGAGCAAGGCAGGAATCTCCCAACAAAGAGAATTTCTCTCTTCCCTTCCAGCTGATTTATGAGCACCTGTAGGATAACTTCTCCAATTAGACAGAACTTTGAATTTATTTTGTCTTGCTGAGGCTGCAGTTTGTTTTTTACTGCCAGAGCCTTGAAACCAACATCTTGGCATGTCTCTTGGCACTGCAGAGTCAACCAAAACACCCCAGTGCCCCCCACCCCAGGGGTCTCCAGACTGCGTCTGCTCCCTCCCCACCTCCTCAGGTGGCAGCTAATGCATCCTGAGGGTGGGGCCGAGCCTCTGCTGTGCTCTCCCAACAGATGGACTCCCATCTTCTCCCGTGGAGCCATCCCTAACGCTCACAGATTAAATATGCTTTCCCTGCTGTGATAACTTGACTCAATTTGGCCTTAAACTCCTCAGCAGGATTTGCCATTTAACCTGCAAATTCCCAGAGATGGTGCTACCTGCAGGAATGCTGGTTTAAAACAAACCCTCTGGAGAGTGGCTGAGTGGCTGTGTGGTAGTTGTTGCCTTTCTCATCAGCACTGGTGTTTGTCTCATGCTGTTGATTTTGAAATGGGCACCAAAGAGGAAAATCAAGTTTGAATCGGTGCCGGTTTTCAGTTGTACCGTTGTTTTGCCTCCTGTTGTTACAAAAACTGCCTGAAAGTGATGTCTGTGAAACAGGAGCTGTTAGAGAAATGGGATCTGCTTTTTAGGGGGTTTTAGCATTTTTCACACTGTGGGACCCCACGCTGGGGGGACTCCTGGTGTCCTTCCCTCTGCTCTGCCTTGACAGGCTCCTCTGAAATCGCTGCTTGTCCAACCCATGGCAATTCTCTGTGAAGGAGTTTCATTTGAATCTGTAACAGGTCCATGCTGATGCTATGAATGTTTTCTGCAGTTGGCCAAAATGATATTGAGATGTCCAGGAGGCTGAGGTACCAATTTTTAGAACACAAATGAGATCCCAGAAGAGAGGGGAATAATGGAGCTGAAGGGAGGTGCCCTCCAAGGATGCTGGAGCAGGAGTGAAGCATCACCATGCTGCCCCTGCAGAATTTAGTAAAAGGGGCCCATGAATCTGCCTGAAATCATTTAATTTTCTACAGAAATTTATTTTCTTAACATGGCCCAATTTCCCCTACATAC